AGACGTTAACATTTTAATATAGACGTTAATGAAGACATTAACGTAGACGTCAACAAAGACATTAACGTTTTAACATAGACATTAACGTAGGCGTTAACATTTTAATATAGACGTTAATGAAGACATCAACATAGACATTAACGTTTTAACATAGACATTAACATTTTAATATAGACGTTAATGAAGACATTAACGTAGATGTCAACAAAGACATTAACGTTTTAATGTAGACGTCAACCTAGACGTTTTAACATAAACGTTAACATAGACATTAATGTTTTAATATAGACGTTAACATAGACGTTAACGTTTTAATATAGATGTTAATCTAGACGGCGGCTAAACGGTTTCTGACGAGGCGCTGAAGGTCATCGACGCTGCTGCCTGAAGCTGCACCGTCCATCAGCCTTCTTCTCTGAAGCCCGGCAGCAACCTGACCACAGGCCGACATGAGGCGCAGAACAGCTTGTGGCTGTTTAGCGTTGCCATGGTAACCACACACCAGTGTCTGTCGCTCCCTGACAGCGGTCTTCATAAAGCGTGTAGAGCAAACATAAAGCTGTGTGGACGCTGTAAACTGTACTGAAACATTCTCCCAACTGTTGGAGTCAGAAGGCCGAGATCAAATGTTTTATTTCTCTACGGTGTTTTGATGTGACGAGGTCAAAAGAAGCGTTGAAGAGGAAACTGAGCTCACATCCAGTGAAAGGACACGAGAGTTTGGACGTGCGCACCTCTTCGCCTGCGTGTTGACGGATGAACTGTAAAGACGTGTGAAGAATCTGGGGTTGTCTATATAAAGTAAAACCCACATAATCTGGTTAAATCTCCACGTCCTCCATGTTCAGCTGTGATTGTGTAAAGTGTTGAAGATGTGGAAAGGGGAGTGATGGTGCAGAGGTTGAGAGTTGTGATTGGAAGTTCGGCGGTTCAACTCCCCGGTCAGACATCATAATCTGGGTGGGAAAGGTGAAGCTCCTACACCTGCCTCCACCCTCATTTGCCCCACTCTGGGCCCTTGAGCAAGGCCCTTAACCCCCACCATCTGCTCCCCAGGCGCCCTAGATGCAGCTCTCTGCTCCACACAGAGGCTGTGGTAGCTCAGTGTCTGTGGTTGAAGAAGAAGAAGAAGTGGAAGCAGCAGTTCAGTCCAACTTCCTGTGACCTGTTTAACATCTGGATGATGGTTCTGCTGGGAGGTCGGAGCTGGAGGTCCAAACAGGACAGGGTTTAACCCGCTCTAAAACTAGTCCTCTCTGGAGGGACTGTGGGTTTTCTTATCGCTGAGATGACGTCATGATTCCTGACGGAGCTGCGCGTCTTCACGTCTTCTTGTTTAGGATCTAAAGTTCTGGCCGTCGAGATGGAAATGGAACAATAATGGATGAAGAATATTAAACGAGCTTCAAACTTCATGAATTCCTCAAGGCGGTGCTCGAAAGAGATTTTACTACTCCAGTTTCCAGAAGGTTTCAGAATCGACACGTCGAGATGTTCATGGTAAAGTGCACGAGGATCGTTTACTAAATCACATGATGATGGCCTCCTTTAAAGAAAATCCTTCTTGTTGTAACGAAACGTTCCATTACATGTTTAATTTGCAGTAGGAGAGAACAGATTTAGGATCTTTTAAGTAAAACAACTATGAAGGTTTTTACAAATGTGCAAGAAAAAGTTACCGCTGCGCAGCGAGGAATCATCTGGAAAATCTGCATCCAGCATGAGGTCATCGTCAGCTAAATCACACGACTCCAAGTTGTTTAAGAGCTCCTAGAAAGAAACAAAAAAACATCGGAAAATGTTTTTAGTACTGAAAAAATAAACGTTGAAACTCTAATAATAAAGCTGCAAAGGTGAAAGACGTTAAGACAAAGATCTGGCCTCCTGTCCTGATCCTCTTCTTCTCTGAGCTTCAGACCTGATCAACGTCTCAGTTCAAGAAATAAACTGTTCTCACTTGACTCGCTGCCTGTTTATTAATTTTACTAACACAAAACTAAAGGGCTTCATGCCTGGAACAACACTGCCCCCTGGTGGTGACAACAAACGAGGGGGAACCAGGAGACCTCAGCCATCAGTCCAGAGCTCGTTAACGTCCTCAGGTCATTAACGGCTCGAGCTCGTTTGGATCAATCACTCCGAGACTCAGCTCATTAAAACAGAGGGCAAACGGAGACACAGCTCATTAAGAGCCTTTCACCGTCGCTCAGGAGCTGCGTCAACTGGAGCCGAGGTCTAAGCCTGGGCTTGACCCGGGTCGTCCTCCTGCTGCTGCCATTTAAAACAGTTTTATCCAGTTGGTCCTGGATCAGAACAAACGGAGCTGCGTCAGCAAAGAGCTGATTTCAGATCAATATTTTTTATATCAGCTGGAATATCTGAATGAATTTCACAATAATCTGTTTTTGATCCAGTACTTTCGGTTCCATTAGTCGTGCTGTGACATCACCCAACGAGGTTTAAAATTCAACATCACACATTTACGAGGTGCTCCACAGACAGGAAGTCCCTCAAACTTTTTAACTCCTCCCCCTTTTCTACACAGAGGGCAAGAAAACTGGTCCTGCACCACAATAAACACTTTAATGTTTCTGTCTGAAACTGAAACTCTGGCACAACAATTTCCTGCAGCATCAATAAAGTTCTGTCTCTTATCGCTCTTATTTCTGGCTGGACGACAATCAGTTGAAGAGTCTGCAGCCTGACGTAACCACATCCGGTTCTGATCCAAACTGGTTTGTAGCTGCAGCCTGTCTGCTTTGTTGAAGCAGATCAATTATCGTAAAAACAGATATCTTAGTCGTCATCTACTGCAGCTGTTCATGATCCAGAGACAACAAAACACACGATCATACTGGAAAACACTAAAAACCTCAAAAGTCCAAACTTTATTACAAACATATTCTGTGTCAGTGGATCAGACACAAAGAAAATGAATCAAAGTGAGAAAAACGAGCACTCGACTCAAACGTGTTGGTTTTGGTTGTAGTTCACAGACTGAACACCAGGGGGAGCCAGAGCATTTCATTCAGACTTACTGAACAGATAAAAACAGATGAACTGAGGCCACCACGAAGGTTTCCTTATTTTCAACATCTTGAACGTTTTATTTAAAAAATATAAAAGTCATCAAACCTGGACCGGTTGTTTTTTTTATTCTGGTTCTTATTTATTTGCTAGTTTTAGATCTTTAAACCTTAAAGTAGTTTATACAAATGTTTATAAAATCTTAAGAGGTGTAGAAGGAATGACATGAAAGCGAGCGGGCCTCAAAGTTTTCCACACTTTTATTTTATTTTAATTTGTGTTGTTCCACTCGTCTGCCCTGAAGGTCTTAAATTAAACTGATCTTCAGTTTCATCAGTTCAGGATCAAACTCAGATTATAACGAACGCAACTTCAGTCTCACGAGGAACAAACGACGGAGGACTTGGACTTACGATGCTGTTGATGTCCGAGCCGAAGCTCCCGATGTGGTGGGTGGTGCTGCCGTTGGTGTGGATGGAGGCGGTTGTGGCGGCGCCCCCCAGAGGCTCCAGACCCTCCTCGTCCCACATGTAGGTCCCCCCAGACCCGCAGCTGTCAGAGGGGGACAGGTCCAGAGACGAACCGCCCTGCAAAGACAAAACGAGGAGGGACGGCCGATGAGACGTTTAGGTGCCGTCAGCGAGTACAGGGGACATTTTATCTTTACGGGTTTTATTCAAACGCCACAAGAAGTAAATAAAAGCTTAAAAATATATTTATAAACTTTAACGGCGTCGGGCTGGAGCTCGGTGCAGGTAAACCTGGGTTAGGGTCCTCCTTAAAGCCAACGGTCAGTCCTGCTCAAAGCACATCCACAAATTAAAAGTTCACTTTGAAATTCCACTTCAGGTTCTTTATGTCGTCGGTTTCAGATGGTTTGATTTGCAGACTTTAGCTGTTTCATCGATTATTGATCAGTAAAATCTAAATGACTGATAAACCCTGAAAATCAACCTGAAACTAGAAATCCTGATCTCAGACTTTTATTCCATCTCTGCTCTGATTTTGTCTCAGATCTAAACCTTTTTATTTCCACGTCCAGGTCTCGTCAATAAAAGACTTTTAAACTTTTGTCTTTGGTCTGCCGTTAAGAACGTTGAGGGAAACAAACGGTGTTCTTGTGACGCGCCTGTCGGCCCCGCCCGTGTTTTTCTAGGTTCAGAGCAGAAACCACATCAGTCACCGGTTCAAACCCTGCAGGATCCAAACTCATGGCTCTGTGTGTCTTACCTGTCTGTGGGCGGGGCCTAACGTTCACTCTGCACCTGCTGCTTTCAGACAGCAACAGGAAAACCTATTTACTTTAGGCCGATTGTGTTTTTGTGAACAGTGTGTGTTCTGGAAGTAAAATGTTTAAAAAGAGAAGGTACAAATGTCCGTTTACTCTGAGGGAGGTTCTGAAGGACCTAAATGTTTTTCATGATTTATTTGAACACGACAAAGGCTTCACTCGTTAGTTCTCCTTCAGCATGGAAGGCCTGTTGTAGTTTTATGGCAGCTGATGGAAATCATTTCTGTCTCAGGTGTAAGCGGCAGCACGTGGACTGGGCTCTAACAGACGGCCTGATGGTTTTGACAAGCAGACAAACGTGCAGAGCAGAAAGTAAGCCTCAGACAAACAGACGCCGTGTGTAAGTTTTAGAACCAAATCCTAAAAAGTGTTGAGCTGCGAGTGGCAGAGGACTGATGGTCACACGGGGTTTACATTTCAACGGTCTCCTGGGTTTAATGTAGACGATATGGAAAGAGTCGTCACTTCCTGCTTTGAAAATAATATTTTGAAATAAAACACAAGTGAAGTGTGTTTGGGTGCGTGCACTCTGCATCCTGGGAGAGTTGAAGAAAAACTAGAAGGTTCCTGCAGAAACTGTGGGGGGGCCTGCCACGTGGCGGCCATTTCAAGTTTTGATTTGACAGTACTCTGTGTTGGGGTTCACTCTCAGCTACCACCACACCGATGTTCAGCTCATTATGGCAAAAAAATAAAAAGATAAATGAGTTATAGTTATTTATTGTAAGCTATGGTAGCCATCTTACAAGATAAACGGGGAAGCAAAGTCCAGGATGTACTTATGTGCACATCAGGCGAGCCGTTTGGTGTCGTGGTCATGATGTCATCAAGATGAGAGTCGAAACCCGACTGAACGACTTGCTCATGCATCGGCGTCAGAAGCATCTGTAATGTAGGGGGGGGCACGGGGTGGTCCTCCCCCCACATTATGAATAAAGTAGATGCCATTTCCTGCATTCTGGTGTATTTTAACAGGTTGTTAAACATCTGTTCACCTCCAGATGTTAACAGATGATTCAATAACTCGTTCAACTAGTCCATTTATGCATCATCCTGTTTTTAAACTCACTCCTCTGGTTAAGAGAATTAAATTAATGTGACGCAATTTATCACAAGCAATGACTTTAGGGGTGCACTTGACTTTTATTTTGTTAACTTTTTATTTAGTTTTATTTGTAACAACACATCACTGTGTTACAATGATGTGATCGATTACAATGATTACATCTTCATCTTTAAATCACTTCCTGGTCTGCTGCCTTCATACATCTCCTCCTACATGTCTCTGTGTGAGTGCAGCTACAGCGTGCGCTCTCAGGACATCATTACCTGCAGTGTTCCCTCAGTGAGGACTGAACTAGACAAAAGGACCTTCTCCTACTCCGCTCCTGTTTCCTGGAACATCTTGTAAAAAGACCTGAAACTCTCGACCTTTGACCTCTCTAAGTGGCTTCAAACATCTGTTAAGTTCCTGAAAAGAACCAATGCAGACATGTTCCTGTTTTTAGTTTTCTAAATCGCCTCTAGCTGTTTTTGTGCTACTATTCCTCTTGATTGTCTTTTTGGTTGCCATTTTGTTTTGATGGTTTTTGATTTGTAAAAAAAAAAGAGAAACTTAAATTTGTATGTCTATTTTATGACAGTCTGTCATTCACTGTCGTCATCACTCTGTTAAAATCAGGTCTCTCTTGTAGAGTCCCCGAGGCTCAGGGGGACTCACCTGTACAAATAAAGGTTGAATGAATGAAAAAAAAAATGCAATGATTCATTTACACATGAGAACTGGTCACTTTTAGGTCATATCTTGTACAATTTTAGCTTCTTTCAAAAACTCTAAACTGTTAACTGAGCATATATTCCCTGGTGCTTTTACAAACTTGCAGCTCTTTTCACTCCTAAATATTGTGAGTTCCCTCGACGTTCTTGCTCCATTTTGTTTGAGTCAAGATGGAAACGTAAAGAGAAAAGGCTTTGGTTCTGTTAGCCTGAGCAGCGAGGCTTCTGGGGCCCAGGTTTCAACGAAACGGGAGTAAAGGCGCTTCAACGCTTTAAACTGCTTCAATCTCCTTTAGAGATGGAAACTGATCCAGATCTGACGAGGTACCTGTTCATGGTAGTCCGGCTGGCTGGACTTTCTCCTCTGGGCGAGTCGGATCAGTCGATGCTCTTCTTTTTCTCCTGAAAATATAAACAGAATAATTCAAACAGAAAACATTTCAGGTGTTTTTGACCTGTTCATCGTTCCTACAGAGCTCACCTCCGACTCCTGGCCAATCCAAACCATCATCGAGGAAACAGAGTCCCGTCGCCTCCGTGACCCTGCTCACCGCCTCCTCCTCGTCATCCAGCCGAGTGCAGGTCTGGTCGAGTCCCGAGTCCTCTTCATCGTTTTTGGACGGGAACAGCAGAATATCAACTCCCCCATTTCCTGGAAACATGAGAAACCTGTTTGGTAAAATTAAATTGAATGCAAGAAGCCTGCCGATGCTTTTGGCGTTTCTCACCGAGGTTGTCGAAGTCGTCCATGTACTCCTGACTGGTGTCGTTTCTGTCCAGGGAGGACGTGGAGGACAGGGACATGTCCTCCAGCATCTCACCTACCGTGGATCCTCCTCCCTGGGACACAGGGTCCACCGTCAGCCCCTCCGGAGAGTCAGGAGAGTTTTCTGCTGGCAGAGGAACAGAGAATGAAATCCCACCAGTATGAAGGTCTGAAGAAGTTATGAAAACCAAAGTTCAACCTGGGCTGGTTCCTGAAGACAACGGCGTCTCGACGGAGTCCCTTCGTCCGTTTGGTCCTCGGTTCACGTCCTGATCTCCTCTATGCTGACTGGCTGGAATCACTCCAAGGGGGCGGGGCTGTTTGATGAGTGACGGGCGTGACAGCTTGTAGCTGATGCCGCTAGACTTGGAGGCGGGGCTGGGGTCAGGTAGGAGGGGCTTCTTTAAGGTTGACTGAGGCAGCTGGGACACTCCGCTGACCCTCGTCAACCCAGAAGCAGCAGAACTTGGACCTTTGATGTTTCTACCTGTGTGTCTGTTCACAGGTGGCTTCAACAAGCTGCCTCTGGGAGGAGCCTGGGGGGAGGAGCCCCGGGTTCCCCACTGGGCAGCCCTGTTGATGGAGAAGGAGCGGGAGATGTTGGAGGATGAGGGGAGGAGTGAGGAAGAGGTGGAAGATGAGGTGAGGGTGGGGGAGGGCTGTTGTCGGACCTGGGTGAGGCTGCGTGACCGAAAGCGGTCGTTTTCGGTCAGCCTGGTGGAAGAAGTGCAGCCGAGGGTTTCGCTGGAGTGGGAGCGGCTGGCCGCTGGCTTTTTATTGAGGGGGGAACCGGATCGAGGTCCTGGACTAGAGCCGAGCCTCGATCCGGCAGAACGAGCAAAGATCTGGGACTGTCTCAGAGAAGTGACCGCCTTGGTGTGTGGTTTAGATCCTGAACTTGTGTTGAGGGTCTGTTTGGTACCGCTGGTCAGCCCTGATGGGGTCTGGCCCAGTCTCTTCCCCAAAGATCCAGTTTTAGAGACTGGAAGAGTTCTAGGGCTGGACTGTGGAGACGGTGATAAAGATGAGGATGAAGGCTGGCCAGGCCTCCTCCCTGCAGAGGTCGGTTTGTTGGCGTCTTGCTGCGACGGAACCGGTGAAAAATGCTCGTGTCCTCTCCTCCACTCAGCCTCCCGGCCCACCGCCCCGTCGCTCGCCGCCTCGTTCTCCCTCCTCCACCTCGAGGAGAATGAGCCGGGCACTCTGATGAAGCCATTCTGCTTTGCAGGGGCGGAGGAGGTACCGTTGACCCCGGCAGGTCCGGGGTGGTGGTAGAACCCGTTGGTGAGGCGGGTGCTTCCCGCAGCAACAGAAGCGGAGGCCGGAGCTGTCTGTGATCGGGGACGGGAGCCGAACTTCGGCAGCCTGGAGACCATAGTGGGCATGGTGGGCGGGTCAACAAAGGGTGGGGCTGACATCAGACTCCGCCCACTTCACCATGGAGACACGGAGACATAAGAGCTGCACCAGAAGAAAAGTAGAGAGCAGAGTAAAACGACAAAAAAGATTTAAAAAAAATTTTTTTTAAATTAATCAAAAAATTATTTTGAAGCTAAAACTCAAATTTCTAAATGACATTTTTCAAAAACAAAATGTTTTTGCTTTTAATTGTTTTTATGGTTAAAACAATTTTTCTGTTTAGTTGTAGACGAGTTCCAGAGAAAAACTTCTGAACTGCGTTCATAATTATAATTAATGGTAGTTTTATTTTTAAAATGGAGAAAAGAAAAGGCTTTAAATGAACAATGACTGTTTTTTATCAAACTTTCCGGTTAAAGAATATATCGGATCCATTGCTGCAACGACCGGGAGATGAAATCAGAGCTTAACATGTTGAAGATCAACTAGTTAGCATTTTGTGTGTGCAAATATTTCATTTAATACAACCTGGTGTACCAAAGATATAAAACTATATTTATTAATAATATTTTTACCAGGACAAACTCATGGAGAAATTTCATTAAACTATAATAACATTAAACGTTGTAATAAAATAACCATAAACCAAAGATCATCGATTCGTGTCAGATACACACACACTATAAAACAGAATAAAAGTAACATTTAAATAAAATAAATTTAAATATCTTCTTGAACCAGGGTCATTGACTGAAATAACTGCTTCAGATCAAACCCCGACCAACTGATGTTCCTCATCATCTTCTCAGGTGGTCTCACATCTGTTTAATGGCAGCAGCTGCTTCAGTTTTAGAGCCTGAAGGTGATTCTCGGTCCACGGAGCTGGAAACACCTCGGGTCTGCAGCCGCGAGCATCAGGTAACCCGCATCGAGCGCTGCTCCGGGCGTCAACAAAACGATGGCGTGTGAGAGACGTTCGGCCAGTGATTAACAGCCGAAACATGTGGCAGCCGAGTCCAGGCGTGTGAGATAACACCTGAACGCACCGCACCCATCGTAAAAACAATCACCTGCACCTTCCTCAGGAAGCAACGCAGTCAGAAGGTACTAATGTTTCACAGGACGCACCCGAAACAACCTGATGGTGTCTCTCTCACACACACACGTGCACGTGCACGCACACACACCTTGCAGCAGGAAGGTGATTAGTCATCGAGGAATGAAAACATTTTTGAATAAATAGTTCTTTTACGCAGACTCCAACAGGAAAATAAAAACATAAATCTCTGGAAATAGATTTGAGCCAAAGTCCAACTCAACTTTTTAAACATAAAACAGAAACTCGGTCTGTGGAGGGACCAGGTCCAGGAGGGAAACCCAGACCTCCTGCTCCCCTGAGACGCTCTCCAGCTCCTCCTGGGAGATCCAGAGGAGTTCCCAGACCAGAGAGATCAAATCCTTTCAGAGATCTAGGTCTGATCTGGGTCTAGAAAACCTCCAGAGTGAAGTTCAAACCACCTCAGCTGACTCCTGTCGATGAGGAGGAGCTCCTCACCTTATCTCTAAACCTGAGCTGGGCCACTCTACACAGGAAGACCCTTCAGCTGCGTGGACCCAGGATCTCCTCCAGGGTCCCTACACTGATTCAAGCACCTGTCAAGCACTTTTAAGGTGAGATTTCAAGATTTGCGCTCACATCACAAGTTTTGTTCTCCTCCGAATGCCTCAGGCGTATGTTTCCTCCAGATCCACAAAGACGTCTGGATCAGAGTCTAACCATCTTCACCTCAGCCAATCTGCAAGGGAGAAGATCTGGTCCTACTCCAGGACCCAGGCAAAACCACACTGATCCTCCTATATATGAGGTTCTCCCTTCAAACATCCTAAACTTTCCCAGGAGGCCGAGCGGTGGAACAAAACAAGAAACACACGAGAACCATGAATCCAGCCGTGCAGGAACGGTTTCCTCATCAAACCAGACGAACGTCACTGAAACAGGAACACAGTGTTCTGCTGCCCTGCAGCGCCGGCGCATGTTATTATCGTCAAACTAAAATTACTACAACCCTCCTCAGACATTCATCCACCTGAGGCCAAGCTGAGCGCCACCAGCTGCTTTAGGCCGATAAGAAAACAGCTGATGTTCTCCGTTCCACATCTGAGAAGCTTGTGATTTCAGCCGAAGACACAACATCTCAGCTGGATGTTTTTTTAAACGATCATCTGAATGATTATTACATAAAACGTTCATAAAGAAACACGTTCTCCAAAGGTCAGCTAAAAACAGACATTGTGCTCTTTTGAGCCGATATAAAGAACGAGAAGATGCTGCAAGAATCCTCCAAGATTTCACACCAACAACCACCTGAAGCTTCACGTCTGGCACAATAAGTTCACGTCTGGCACAATAAGTTCACGTCTGGCACAATAAGTTCACGTCTGGCACAATAAGTTCACGTCTGGCACAATAAGTTCACGTCTGGCACAAGTTCACGTCTGGCACAAGTTCACGTCTG